GAGAATTTGATAGTTGCGGACGCTAATTTGTTTACCCGCGGTATCTAACTAAAAAGCGTAGATCTGTCGAATTTATGATTGGCTGTATATACAAATTCAAGGTTTTCTAGCTTAGCCCTATCTTATTCTATTACATATACTAATATACTAAGAATATATTTATAAATTTTTATAAAATACGAGTAAAGGCCTATAAATTAAATTTATAATTTTTTTTTTTAATTAGAGCTATCGAGTAAATTTAGTAAGCGAACTTTTAATAGACGATATTTAAATTCGTTACTTTTAAATATCTATAAGACTAAATTTAGATATTCTTCTTACTTTTAAAAGCTTACATTTCGTTCTATAATTTAAAAAAAAAATCTTAAAATTTTAATAGAAAATAAAAAAGTTATTTTAAAATTAAATAATATATATCTAATTAAGGCTATCCGACTATCGAGCGAACTTTAATAAACGATATTTAAATTTCTTATACTTTAATAATTATAGAACTAAATTCAAGAATTCTTTTTTTATCTAAAAGTTTATATTTTATTCTATAATTTAAAAAAAATCTCAAAAATTTAATAAAAAATAAAAAAGTTATTTTATATATTAATAACGTATATCTAATTTTTAATAAGAAGGCGCGAAAGGGCGAGATTTTAATAGTTACGGATATTAATTTATTTATCTATAATAACTTAGCCGGTCTAGTCAAAAAGCGTAGATCTGAACCCGAATTTATAATTAGCTGCACATACAAATTCAAGGTTTTGTAGCTCAGCCCTACCTTATTCTTTTATATATACTGATAATGATTCGGCTATTAAGTAATGATATATCGAAGTTATAGATTATTAAGTTTCTTTAAAATAGTTTCGGGGTAGCTCGCTCCGGGGCAAAGCTACCCCGCATCTTACTAATGCTGATATATACCTAGGGGTAAATATCTCATATCAACCAAACCCCCAAAAAAAAGAGGGGTGGGAGGGTTTCCTAAAAAAAAAAACAGGGGGGCCTTTCTAGTATGTAAGGTATCTTACAGACGTGTCATAACTCTGAACTTGAGACCGGCCTGCCAGATGATGTGAGATCCCGCGATGCCCCGTTATCAGTCCTGCAATACCTGCGATACCTGCCATGTTCACAGGCCGCGGTAAAGGTTTTCGAGGCAGAAGCCACGGCAATCATGGTGCGACAACCAAAGTGCCTTTGAAGAAGGGACTCTTCTCCGATGGCATCTGGCAATGCAACTGCGATCCTCGCCTACCGGCACAGCACTTTCAAACTAAGAATGGTGGAAAGAACCATGGACGGTGGTGTGGGTAGACCTGGCTTTCTCAATCCCAACCTAATACTAGCTGACAATGACTTGCACATAGTCTATACATGTCAGAAACCCCAGCCCAAACGCTGCGACTTCTTCCTATGGGATGACGAGGCCAAATTACGAGAAGCAGCCGCCGTTCTGAACAACTCCCGCACTGAACCCATACACTCTCCTCAGACTCCCAGCAAATCTTCGCCATATGGTATAGTCACACCTCAAACCTCCAGTCGGCTCAGGGACGGTAGTCCAGAACTCGCTACACCTCGCACCCCCTCAAAAACCTCTTACAGCCCGCCCTCATCATCCGCTTGTGGTCATGGAACGCAGACAACTACCACCCAAGGTAGCGACTCCGAAGAAGAGTTCTTTGATTGGCCCGCCAGCGACGATGATGAGCTGTCGAAATTTGCAGACCAGGCATCCAGTGGACATCCCATGCCACCCCCGGAAACGCCACGCAAAGCGATTAAGTCGGATACACTCTCTACGCCAGGCAAACGCAGGTACGATGAGATGGCTGCGGACGATGGAGACGCTCTGAAGGTTCCTCTACGAACATCAGCTACTGGAACCGAAGGGGACGATATCTTCACCACGCCTGCCATTGGTACACATAGCAAAAGTCTATTTGCGAGCGGCGCTCTCCCTTCTCCAGCAGTAACTCCTACGCCAATTCGCTACAAGGACATCCCTCCAACCCAGGAATCAGAATTAGCATCTGAAGTATTTAGTGCCCTACAAGATCACAACGCTTCCATTACACTCGAAGCTCAGGAGACATTGAAGAAAATTTGTAACAAGCACGTGCTATACACAAGGGGCATAATGAAAGGTCGCGATGTTTCAAGAGCTATGGTCAAGAGGCAAGATGAACGAACAGTGGAATTGCAAGGCGAGATTGAGGGTCTCAAGGCTGAGCGGGAGACGAATAGAGCCGTGATTAGGCATCTGCGACGGGATATGGCAGTTCAAAAAGAATCAAGAAATTGATCTTAATAGTTTCCAGCCCGAAGCACGAGAAGACCAGCGACGTACACTTTGTCAAAGCGTCGCTATCATCTTGCACGACATTGTTTCACGCTGCACCAGATTCTAGGGCCCATCTTGGACCAAGCTGGTGTGGCTTGTGTCTCTCGCAGCCGATGCTTTTGTTAAGCAAGCCATGTTACGGTACGCTACTTAAGAATGCTTTGCGAGAGACCCAATTGACATATCTTGAAGTGTCACCATATCATAGTCAACGAAACGAGCAAATGCTTCCATCACCCTTGGTGCCTCATCGACTGGGAAACTAGCCGGTTCCGTTGTGGTCCTCGCGGTCCATCTGATGACATATCACCCACATGACTTCTGCGAAACGCTACTGGATTCACTGCTACGAAAAACAGAATATGTCGAGGCAGTCTTAGTGCTGGGACAGCTGTTTCGCGCTCTTCATTCGTTCGCTACACCGGACTTGGGCCCAGTGAGGCCGCCGAGGCTCCTAGTTTTGATTACACCACACTGCAAGTTCGTTCGGGTACCGAAGGGTCCTAAGCATAATCTGTGGCGCGAATTCATGGATGACTCTTGTTGATACGAGCCATTCACACTGCAACAACAGCACTAGTGAGTAGTTCATCTGAAATGACCGGACGCGCACGTTCAACAACTCGACAACAAGAAAAAAATCCAGTAAAGCTTTAGCGGACTTGATTGTAGAGAAGGTGATAAATTCTGTTGGGAACATAATGCTCAAATCAGCAGTTCGAAGATGGTCTTTGACAACGGTTGAGTCAAAATGGCAGCTACTAGTGACATTATGGAACCAGAGGAGTATGACAAGGTACAAGTCGTACGAAGCAGATGAAACTCCTTTGAATATCATTGCGCAGGATCTTTACCTGATACCGGAGGATTGGCTCGATCGGGCTGATTTTGTCTACATCGCGATGCGTAGTAGCAAACAATGTTTGTGTTTCATAGTCTTGCAGTTACGGCGTGCAAAATGGAAGCTTGATATCAATGAAAAACCCGCCAAAGAGCAAATGAATTTGAAATGAGTGCAGAAAGGGCCTCCAACAACAGCCTTTTGACTGAATGTGGCTTTGAGAGGAAGTCTGTTGATGACATTCATTAGGATGGCAGCGGGATTACTGTGGTGACTCTCACAGCAATCCCCAAGATCTATCATATGCAATGGTTGCAGCTCATATCCTGTCCCTCAAATCAACACATCAAGACGCCAGTATTCTTTATTTGCCTGGGAATATCAGCCCTTTAACCAGCACTTTTTTTCTTCTTGTCCTCGATGCATTCCACGTTCTCATCTGGCACTCCACCCACATCCACTACCCAGTCGAAGATATCGTCACTGTTGTCCCCTTGCACCACTATTTCTTCGCCTCCGCTCGCCGTCTTCGTGACACTGCTGCCTGTTGCGACTGTTCCAATTGTCAGCCCTTACCCGACCCGTCTTCTCTGACTCCATTTCCCGCCCACAAAAATCATATCGTAACCACCGCCCAAGAAGACCGGAAGGGAAGCTACTTACACTTTTTGCCGAATTCCTTGGCCACCTTCTTCAAGTCCATTCCATGCGCCTCCAACCCCGACACTGCCGTAACATACTTTCTCTTATTCCTCTCGACGCGCTTTATGTATACCATCGCTTCCTTCTTCGCCTCAGCCTCTCGAGCCTCCGCGGCTGCAGCTTTCGCTTCTTTCTTCTTCGAGTCCTTTTGGGCGCGCTTCTGGGCGTCGACGGAGAGTGTGGAGAGGGAGGCTGTTATTGCTTCTATTTCTTTGTATGAGCAAAGATGACGGGGCTTGTCACAAGCGAACGTTTCGTAGAGGGAATGGTTGGTTGCACCTTCAGAGTAAAGCTTTTCATGCATATCCGGATGGTTTTGCTCAAGCCATTCCTTGCACTTCTTCGCTGTGCCGCCGAATTCACAATACTAGGCTGGCGCATCAGCCTGTAGTCCTTAGCTGGCGTCTCAAGCCCGTTGTTGATCCGGGATGAAGTACCTCTGGGGGAAGAGAGCAGACTGTAAAGGCATGTCAGTGCTGGAGGTTGCACGAGGCAGCGAATGGGAAGACGTACCGCCGCAGTAGACAATATGTCTAGCTTGGGGCTCTGTTGGCGCTGCATCTGTAGGGGCTGCTTCGGCCATTGTGTGTGAGACAGAAGGTCTGAGGTTGGAGATTGGGTGGTGGGTGACTCGGGCAAGGCAAGACGGTTTGAAAGACGAGTTCGTAGTTTTGGAAGGTTCTACAGTCTCTTTTACGCGATTTGAGAAGATGAGTGTGTCGTTGCAGATGTCAAGTCTAAATGGCAGGGCTTCGGCTATACATTCAAAAGGCCGAACGTGGAAAGCACGCTAGAATCGGATCGGTCATAGAGTAGTGGAAGGTCACCTTACCTAGGTAGGTATGTCCAGCCAGCCACAATCCATCATTTACCCAATCTTGATCACATCCGTAGAATATCGTTCATGTCTTAGGTATTTCTTAAGGGCGCACATTATGAGATCACAGCTGAATAGGAGGGAGAGTGCCTGTCAATGTTGGGCATTCCTATACATGTGAATGTCTGCTCGTTCGCTCTCAATGAACAGTTTATACTGTTCTTTCAGCATTATGCGGCTTAGGCCTATCTACAGGCAAAGCACAATCAGGACATCTTTCGGAACGAGCGATCATGACGCCCCCTCTGCTACCCGTCGTCTATGCTGGACGTGGCGATGCCATGTTTTTGCAATATAACGTAGATGCGCATGGGCGCCAGGAAGAAAATTTCATTATCCTTGATGATGGTGGCGATGCTTCATATCACAAGTTCCCGGCATCAGCTTTGAGGATGCTTCGAGGCGAAAACCCCAATCTTACAGCCATGATAGCTTCACATGCGGACCTGGACCGTTACGAAAGGTCTCCTTCATCTTCTTGACCAAGACGACATCAAATAAATATTCAAGGGACCATTCGTCCTCCCTTGATTACAACACAAGTCAATGACTCTGACAGGGAACAAGCTGACGCAGTGGGTTTTAAACGACGATATCTCGCACCAGATGCAGCGTATATTTTGCCAGGAATTGCGCGCCTGTATCCACGAAAGATCCTCTGCTTCATAGAGGGACTCGAAGGTGTCACATCGGGGGAAGCAGCAAACCCCTTAGCCGGTGACAACATCAATGCGAGCAGCATTTTGATGAGGATACAACTGACCTCGAGTACCAATGAGAATCCGATGTTCTTTAGGGCGATAATAAGAGACAGTCAATTCGAGAGGAGCTCAAAAGGTTGAGAAACGTACGAACATCAAGCCGCACTTTTCCAACTATAAGGTTCAACATCACGGCGGTGTTGCTGATGCCCAGACTGAATCTGAAAAAGCTCCGGACTTTCACAACTTCGTCAAAGATGAAACGGCTGTTTTCATCACCCTTTGATACAGAAGGCACTCACAACTTCTGGCCGCCGTTTCGAGACGGTATTCCAGTGGAGGAGAGCAATGAGGAAGCTGGTAGTGCAGAACAAAATCTTATGACTACAGGCATGCCTGCAAATACCTAATAGAAAGACATTGATGTTGCTCAGGAAGAAAATTTCGACCGGAAAAATCGATGGAACCTGCTATGAGGCGCTGGCGAAATGGCATGAGGCGAATACGGACAAATGCTCTGGTCTTCGCGCGACGGACACTCTCAATCGTTTGGGTGATGACCCCGTGCCTCTTCCGGAACCATCTCCAATCAAGATATTTGAAGAGGCTTTGAGGCTCATTGAAGACCTTCGAGACGCCTATAGCACGAACAGACCGGATGCAGATTTATTTTGGCAATTTTACGAGACTTATAAGAGGGAGCGGAAGCCTCCACCACCCAAAGGTTCGCTTCTCGGAGAGGAATACAAAGAAGAGGAGTGAGACAAAATGAGAGAAAGGAAATGGCAGAGACTTGAAGACAGGTGGCTCCACCAGAAAACTCGGAAAGAGTGTATCAAGGAGCGCGAAGGGTCTCCCACGAAGTCTCGAGACTTGAAGTACCGGGCATCGAAGATTGGAGAATGGGATAAGTTCATTGACGGCCTTCCCACCTGGGAATATATGGCGATAGTACATGTAAAGTCCACACAGGCATTCTTCCAATCATTTCGAGCAGACACGTATGTTAAAATGTAGTGCGTGGTTCTTCGCCGAAATTTCCTTTACATGGCGAGGGTGAGATGACAAAAGCGTTGGCGCTTGGGGCAGAAGCACATCCAAGCTCTACCATTGTACTCCAAGCGTTTGTGGCAAGGAAACCCTAAGATCGTGTTTACACCATCATTGTTGAAAACTCGAAATTGCTTGGCAACCATCTCACCGTAACTGGGACTTGAGCTTATAAACCGGCTGGTCCTAATCTAGACCTTAATGTCAGCCTCGAGATCACTGAGTTATTTAAACTGGTCTTCTTTGCCGTCAACATCTCGATGAAGAAAGACGAGACAAAGGTCACTATGCAACATAGTAAGCCATCAGGGAAGTCCATCTTGAATCCTTTCAGCGGAATGTCTATTGATTTCGAGCTTAGAGAACATGAAAGTTGAAGGAACTTTTACGCACGCGAAGAAAGTTTTGACAATTCAATGGGGACTTCGACTGGGGGAATCGAAAGGTTCACACTCTCTTCAGGGATGCATTATACTCCATGATGGCAACCCCAAGCTCGCTACGCTGAAGTACAACAAGGAGAATAAAATCGCCATCGCCAACCTTTATCCCTCAGTATCAGAAGACAGGGGGGCCAGCTCAACAGATCCAGACGCCATCTCAGAGATCCAATCTGAAGTAGCGTCATTGTACTTCAATAGCGGCAATGACAATCTGCTCATGGAGGACTGGACCTATGAGCCAGGGTACCATCTGCCAGCTAAGGTTCTTGTCTTTGGCCACCACTTCGACTTTCAAGTCGAAATAAAGAAGGCTGGACTTATAGCGAGTGGAAGCCTGGCTGGTCCAATAACTCTCACAGTCGCAGAGCTTGTCGGGTGGGTTGACCCTCATAAGAAGCGTTCTCAAACTCCAGGCCCAACTGCAATCTTGGGCGTCATATTTTGAATCAAAGCTGGTCTGAGACTTCTTGACCACGGTCCGGCCGAGCTTCAATTTGATTAGAAGTTCGAAGAGCGGCATTTGGAGGGCACTGCGCAGTTCTTCGGAAACCTTCTTAGCATTCCATCCCCATCGATACGTTTCATCTACAAGAGCAAGCGCGTCTCACTTTCGAATAGAAGTTATCCTCTAAAAGATGTCTGCGCCAATGATTTCGAGCTTGACGAATTCGAGCTAGTCCTTGAAACACCGTGGTCAGCTCAAAATATCGAGACCATGCTGCTCAATAATATCACAGGGAGCTTGCAGAGAATCGGGGAAGGAATCTGGAAGCGCCCCCAGGGTCTCGTAAGTATTATGGCAGCCATCGCTGTTGAGAGATATGCCAAGTCTACCATTGCTGGTCTGATTTGCCGTAGTGTTAGATCTAAGAAGCTCGAGAAGGCCGGCGCGGTGGCCAGTGAAGCAGAAGCAACGGCGGAGGCAGTAGCTGGTGTTGAAGGTGCTGCCGGCGGCGTTGCGGGTGCAGCAAGTGTTACTGGAACCGCTGAAGTAATCGCCTTTCAAGGGGAAGCTCTGCTCAAGATGTTGGCTATTTCCGCAGGTCCCAAAAGTTTTGGTTGAAGTATTGAACCGAGACTCTTCGAGTACGGAGGCGACAGCAATGAAGAAAAACGTCAATGAGAAATTCGCCATCACAACGGCAGCGGTTGACAAAGCCACAGTAGCGAAAGCGGCTGCTGAACGAGAAATGGAGACACGATTGCAATTGACGAGCCCCCAACTGCCACTTTCAACTTAGACACGAACGGTGAGAACATAATTGTGGTTGACTGATCTCATGGAATTCCTGCATCTTTCCAATCCCAAAATGGCCTGGGCAGCCATATCCAGCGGGAAGTCACGCTGTCGACGGTTGAAGGGATTCGGGACGGCGACAAAACACACACCATCACTACGGCCCAATCCTCGAAAAAAAATTCGGATCCACGCTTCAGCATTATAGGCCATCTATGCTTCAAAACCAGAGCCAGTTCGATTTTCGAGAATGTTCGGCTCGAGGCTAAAGATTGGTCTCTGGACTCGGCATACCACATACCGCAATTTTTAAGCGCCTCCAGCTGTATCCTTGCAAAAAGTTAAAGATAGTACAACTGAATGTACGATTAGAACAAAGACTATGCAGCCTGGTGAGTATGAGATTTGTCATGCAGATACATCGCCAGATGGGCCTAGCATACAGTTTTTATGGAGACGCAGTCAGGGTCGAGACGGCTAGCAAAGTCACCCAAAGCAATTGTTGCCTCGAGATTGGTGCTGAGATGGACTCCTCAAACTTGAAGAAAACAACCGCATTCATACCCCAAAAGTCCTCGGATCTCGCGAAAGCTAAGCACTCTAGGTGGACTGAGTCGAAAGATAAACTCAGTGTCACGCTGCCGTTGAGGAACTTACAAGCACGAATTCAAGAGAGAGCGGTTAGACTGAGCTGGAACACGACATGGGAAAAATAGCACGCCTTCAGGATCGATGTCGTCGCGGACGGTCACCCTCGCGCAATATCTCTGAAACGAGCCTCTTCCTCGAGATGGCAATGTTAGGCCTATGGTTGACGCGAAGCTGCCGGAACACATCGAAGAGCTCAAGACGATCGAAGTCTTCATCACGCCAACTAATATTCCAAGCAATACCATTAGGGTTTTTGCTGCTGCCAAGGTACTCGTAGTCTTCCTGCCGATACCACGTATCTTGACGAATATACGTCAACGTGATTCGCCGACGCGCAAGTTGAGCCTCCATGCATTACTCAATTTCCCTTCTCCGGAAGGAATCTCCGTATTGATTCAAATGAAGGTGGATGGGGAGTATAAGGGAGAGCAGAACCACTTTCAGATTGTTTCACGTAAGCCTGGAAACCTAGGCAGCCAAGGAGATACTCTCCTCTTTGAAGGGTCTCTTCATGCTCCTTACCCGGAGCTCATGCGTATCAGCATCTCCCACCCCAGAGGACCCTTGGTCTACAGCTCTGAATGGAAATTAACTGGTATTCCGGCTTAAATTCCGACCCACCAATCATACAACTTCGGCCATCCACATGCTGCCTCTGCACAGAAGAGCGGTGCTATATGTGCTTCTGCGTAGGGAGATGGATCCATCGATGTCCGGTGGGTCGGACAATCAGATTGGGATCCCGTAACTGCCGGCAGAACAAGCATCTTGCACTCGCGCGGCCTCAATGGCCAGTGGTCCGACGCAGATGATCTCGAAAGGGCCGCATCCCTCGCGCAGAACGCATCCGAGGGCTATCACACCCGTGAGCGCGACGGAACGATCCATCTTCTTCATCGAGAATGATGGTAGTCCGCACACAATGAGAGGAGCTGAGTCCACCGGACCCGTCATGGACGGGCACAGTGCACCGGCGCAGAGTGTTCATGGCGCGGGGATCCACTCACAGGCCCTGCCAAAGGGTGCCATGCGCGTTTGGTGGATAGAGCCAGATGGTGCTGTGCGCACCTCATGGCACCCGGGTCCCTCGACCTCGGCTACAGGCCCGCTATGGCAGAGTAGCCACGTCGCGGATGCGGGCAGCGCGTTGCCTGGAGACGGAAGGCTGAGCAGGTCGATGGGCGGTCGAGTTTGTATCTTTATAAAGAACAGTTACCGGTGCGGTCTTGTTGTCAGAGTGGAAGGCGCTTGGTCTCTGCTACTCCGTGGTCGGATGCGGAGGTCGTGGTGTTTTACGTTGGAGGAGATGAGAAGTTGCATTTTCAAACTCATGATTTCGTAGGTCATTCAGTCAATGGCTTTCCTTCGGGTTGATTGTTACATATAAAGCAAGATCAGAGAACCAGAGACGAAGTTTGAAACATTTAGTAGTAACCTTTGTATATAACAATGTTGATTAATTGTTCTACCTGAGGAAACTCTGCCTTGATAAATAAAGCAAAGAAGCTGTCGTTAATGGTAGGATTTGAAGGTATTACTTATCTACTAAATAACTCTTCTTTTCTTAACGTAATTATCGACTCTGCACATTGAGAATTGATTACTACGAGTATAGCACTTAGTAAGAGTACAAGCTAGTACCTTATAGCTCTAGACTATGCTTCTAAGCTATGCAAGGCATGTCGTTTTCATCAAAACGCAGCTGTCCCCGAACGGAACCATACCATCATCTCATACCTTCACAAGCCAGAAGACACCAAGCACACCCAGTGCTCTGTCAAGCCAGTAACGACATCTGAAAAGAAATCTATGTAAGATTACCGTCAGCCGGGAATATGTAGAGTCGAATTAGATGTCCCATGCACGCATGTGGTGTCACGGGCGGAACTCGTCTGCTGTTGCAAAATGCCAATGTTGCGCCTGTCTTGCTCGAAGCCAATGGTCCCATGCTCACTGCGGAAAATTTTGAGTGCTGCCGCCAACGCCGCGCAAATGTTGATAGAGGTCGAATCTTCTCCTCGTTTCGTAGAAATTGGGGGGTAGTGGCATGCCAGGCCTTGATGTAATGATGATGAGTCTCCAGGCCGTCCATGAACGGCCAGGCGAATCCTTCATCTGTGCCAGCCAACGTTCCAAATAACGTGGGCTATATCCTTCGCAGTGTTTACTGTGTCGACGACTCTGCCCAAGAGGCCAGCGTTGCCTACGTCGTTCTCCTCCTCCTCGTAGGGCATGAACATGCCGGACGGCGTTCGGCGTAAACCACTGTGTTCCGCGTCCGCGTCTTCATCGGAAGGATCAAGCTGTAATCCATGGCGAGGATACAGGCTGTCTCTCCTCCCACTGGATGCAGATGGCTGCCAGTTGATGTCCGCATCTTCGTCCTCATCGTCGAGAAGAAAATTTGTGGAGGGAGAGGAAGGTCGAAGAGTCTGCTGTGATGGAGACGGAGACAAAGTCGATCCTCCGTTCCAGAGATTTTCCTTCTGTTTGGTCTTTTGCTCTGCAGGGTCTGGTGTATCGCCACGGTAATTGAGGGTCGTGGAGGGAAGCATAGCAATAGTTTTGCTATCACTGCTGAAGCTATTTCGAGGTGTACTTGGTGTGCTTCTGATTTTGGCCTTGGTAGCGTTTTTGACAGGTCTCATTACGAGCATCTCATCTTCTGAGGAGTCTTCATCATCATCATCATCATCATGATGAACAGCTTTGTAGTACCCAGGGCGGTCATCAACGTCTTTGTTGATGGCGATACACTGCTCCACTTTATTGTTGAAATGTATGTGTCGTTTCGTGCAAGGCGTTTGTACACCTGATGTAGAGATTGATTCAGAATGTTCGGTTGACGACGTGTTGGTTGTGGATCTCGTGAACGGTGTCTCGGGTTCAGACGATATGCCAAAGTCAGATAATGCTCTGTCACCGAGCATTGGCCTATCATGCAGGATTTTCCGGGGTTGCTGAGCACGAAGCGCATCTGTAGCTTGCTTCATTAGGGTCGACGATGACAGAGACCGTTGAAGCATGATTTCTGACAAGCTCCGCTTCTTCAGGATGGGTTTCTTCGATGCAAAGGAATTGCTCCTCGAGAGCCGACTTGCCGGCGGAGTGTGATTTAGGTTGAAAGCTTTGACGTTGCCGGTCTGGAGAGGCCCGTATAACCACGTTACGTCGTGGTCCTTCATCCTAATGAATGTCAGGATTTGTCATCAGCTTACGCAGGCACGAAAAGCAGGCCTACCAATTCAATGTTTCGGGCGAGACGGTCTTGAGCTGGTATTTGGACTTTGTCCACGTTCTCCACGATGCGTTTTCCAGTCTCGGGCTGTTAGTGTAGGCTTTCCTCTTTGCCACAATATGCCTCCACGATGCCCATATATCTTCCTCCTTCCAATTATGTGACAGGTAATCGACATGTCTGGTAGGCTCATTTTCGATGGCCGTGTCATCTCCGGCGGTAGGTTTGGCGTCCGAATTGTGAGGGTAGGTTGGCTTTGCGAGGGCAGAGTCACTGGCGGATTTCGTCACAGCGTCCAGGCCCGGAGGTTCAGGACTCAACGGAAGATTAGCACCGACCATTTCCTCATAGTAGCTTCCATCGTCGTATAATGGAAAAGCAATGTCCTCCTCTTCTGTCTGGCACTGCTCGTCCAGTGATAAGCTACTGGAAGGAGTGGATGTGTAGGATGGCTGGTTCGAGAATTCTGGGGCGGTCAGTCGTGGAGAGGACGGAGCGGAGGACGGCAGAGAAGCGGGGAATTTTGAAGTATCATAGCCCACAGCTGCGTATCTTTGTTTGATGTTTGACGATGATCTCGAGTAGGAGGAGGCATTGTGTAGTAAAAAGGATGTCTGAGAAGAGGAGCGGCGCAATGGAGATCCGAAATGCGTAGTGCCTTCCGGCTGTGTTATAGAAAGCACTTCTGTCATTGTGGTTTTTGTGGCGAGCGGTCAAGAGGCTCCGTTGTAGGTTCGTCTAACGCCCGTCGAGTGCCCTTTCCTCCTCGATCCAAGCTCCCTAGGAATGAGCTGGAAAGACTGAAGAGAGTCTTTCCGCAGGATCATCTGAGGCTAATTGGGTGGATTGGTCGTTTGGTCGAAATCTTTCCAGGCAAAAGTGCCCACAATCTTTTGGTCTTATTCAAGGCGGAGTGAGCGGCATCGAGTTAACATTGGCGAATTGCGGAATGTGCTAGCGGGTAGAGGATCTGACAATGGTCGTAGAGATTGGTGAAGTGTGAAAGGTGAGGGGTTTGAAAGGAATGTCATACGGGTGTGATGACAGCGAGTCGAGTGTTGTTAGGTGTTGAGGGTGGGAGGGTAAGAGGGTACCTCTGGCTTAAACGAATTTGTGGGGAAATCTTGGCTGGAACTTTCGGGAAATTTTAGAGTATGGGGGGGAGTATTAGAGAGGTCTGCACCGAAAGTCCTGCACCCGCACTAGTGCAGCCCTAACCCTACTTTCGGAAAGCGGCCCTGTAGAGGGGAAGCCTAAAAATATCTTCTCACAGCGCATGATGGGACTTAAGGTACCTACTTCTTTTAGCCTTGATAGAGGCAGTAAGCCCCGAAACCTGGCTAGGGCTAGGTGCGATTCCGAAGAACTCCAGACGCATTGTCCAGGTAACCCTTTAGGTGGGGCGTTATCCGAAGTCTGAGCGCAAGAGTCTTGGCGGGTGCAGGACTTTCGGTGCAGACCTCTGTAGACGATGGATGATGGAAGATTCAGGGACACATCCCAATTGCAATTTTTCAACTCAATATCGATGAAGATAGAAGTGAAGGACTGCTACAACAGGGGTATAATTATTCACACATAGAGAGTAAATTAGTAGTAGTAGTAGCAGTACTCTAGTATGTATGAGTAGTGTGAAAAAATTGAAAATTAAAGTAATGCTTTGACAAGTATGGAGTATCTGACTCTGTTTTCATAAAGTAAAATGATCGCTTGCGGGGGTGAAGGGGGCCCATAGGTGCCCTGGCTCGCCCGGTTCTTTCAACCTAAGTACCAGCCTACCAGCCTACCCAGCCTACCTTACCCCTTATTGTACTAGACTACCGGCGCCCACAGCCACACAGGGCCAACGTTAGAGTTAATAAGCGCACAGGCTTAAGGAGAATTTTCCTCTATCAGTCCATATCAGTCCAGCCCAGTCCACTTCCAATCAATTAGCAAACATTATACCCCTCTATTTTATCATCGAGTGATTATTCGCTACCAGCAACTTGCTCATTCGACCACCAGATCGTGGCAGACCCCTCCGAATCTGATCGCTCATGATTAGAACCTCTCAGGATGAGAATACCACATATTGTTAAGCAGGGAAGCTTACAAGTCAGAAGCCACGACTATTTCTCCCGAGTCTAGGTGAGACCCTGATATGTTTGGAACCTCGATTGCATTCCCTGACGAAGTGATCGGCTGGCTAGAGTAGGAGCCTTGCATAACATGGCCTCTTTTCCATGCGAGGCTTTACGGCGGCTATGATAAGGGCAATAACGGCAGGTTAGCACGGTCCAAGTTCATAGGTCCTATCTGTATTGCCAATCAAGAATCGCTGTCCCCGCCAAAGTTTGGGAAAATCTTTCGAAATCGGTCCGTTGCAGCAAAGTTTGGTTGAAGGACCCTCATTGACCCACAAATGTCCCCAACACTCCTCCATCATAGTCGACCGTCTCAAGTGCTAGTGAGGTACTTATATAAGTACAGGTACCACCGTTCGTCCATTCCCCCTTGAGAGTTGAGACCACTCTCTGCGGCTAGCAAGACAAAGGAAAGTTACAACAGCGAAGTGATGCCTCGGTACTTGATCGCTTTGGATCGATCAAGGCCTTCCTTCACCCTGTAGGCTCAGGATCATCCCGACATTTCCACTCATTACTTAAGGTCCCAAAACATCACCTGGATATCAAATTGACGTCGTTACACGATAATGAACCGCTGTACAAACCAATCTCGCAGACGCTGCTGGACCCGGCACCCTGGTTTCATGCGGAAACTAGGGAAGCCAGCCAAAACCTGCGAACTACCGTTTGATCTTCTTGCAGGCGGAGATTTGCATTGTCTTGCAGCGCCGTTGGATACCAGGTGAGAAAACGTGCAACGTTGGAGGAGATCACTTGTGCACTCGGAGTGGCGCATGCCGGCAGGGCCACCAGGGCCTTGGTTACTTGCATGGCAGTGGCGCTGCATCGCATATGCACACTATCAATATTGTGCCTTATCTCCAAACTAGCGTCTGTACGCCGCCTGGATTGCCCATACCTTAATCAGTTGGGCGGCCCAAGGACTTTGCATTTGTCTACAATCCATTCTGACTCCGAGGAGGACGAGGCGACATTGGCGCATCAATTAAAGTACTGAAAGTTTCGGAGCAGTCTCCGCGAGCCACTTGGATGTCCATCTCCTGCGGTTGAAAGACATGAGATAATGGAGTCTTTGATGCATAAGGTACTGAAACACACTTCTCGCTCGACTTAGCTTGCAACTACTTACGTCGATAATAATAACAATCCCATGTTTTATAAACTAGAACATGCAGAGAAGATCTAGTTCATAAGCGACGGGAGACCTTGATGAACCTCGGAGCCGGCAGCACCAACCAAATGCACCTGTCACAAAACCAAGCACCCGCAAGGTTGAAGTATACTGTAAGCTTATCCCAGTTGGACAGGCCATTGTTGCGCCTATTCAAGCAGCCAAAGTTGTGTGGAACCGACTGAAGATGCAGCCATGAGTTTCTTTTGTAACGCGGGGTTATTTGTTCTTGCAATGTCCAACTGCGTGGACAGGACAAGACAAGCTACCAGCACTGAGTAGGTTTTAGTCATTGTCCGGCTTCGGTCGCAGGATTGGAGCGTTTCATTTATATACGCTGTCCCGATTTCATTGAAAACGCGCTGTTGCAAATCTGCATACATGCACCTTGACCATACAACCTGCAAACAACGGAAAATGTGCACTCATTCCACGAGCAACCTACAGATGCCTGCGATCACGTTGCGGAACAATGGTTTACTAAGTCATTGGTCTGTATGGAGCTTGTCTGTGGTACAACTTTACTCAATGTCTCATGTTCTAATCGTGCACTTGCCAGCGCTTTCAATCACGTATTGGAAGACCGACGGTCAATCAAGGGCGGTCAACCTGATTCATGAGAGATCAAGTTCAAGTGGTCGAAGCATGACTCTTCCCACAGTTGCATTCATTAACAGCATTACACGTGCAGCGCTATAGCACCTCTGCGAGCAGGCTAAGCGAAGGTCGTCAGTGCAACGGAGCGGGCTTTGAGGGGGCGGTGCTATCTGTGCATATCGGGTGACCCCGCTCGTCGACTGCCTGCAAGACTCTCAAGACCTCCATATCGTTGTCTATTACCTCGCGTGATAAATGTCGGTAGGTAGAAGCTTCCTCTGCCGTTAGCTGGAAATGCTCTCTGTTTTCTTACCGAGCCATTCTCACTGCCATTTCCAACCTCTTGTTGTGCTAGTCGTGACAGCTTTTGAAAGATCAGGACAAATTTGATACCGTCAGCACACTTTAGAAGACTTTGACTTTCTGTTTTTTGTCTGGGTTACTGGTAATCCAAACTCAAAGCCCGTCTCTCGTGCCGCTCCGGTTCTCGTGGCTCCTCGAAAGCTATCCCTATCTACTAAGCTTCCTTGTGGGTACAGGCAATTCCGCAAGCTGTCAATGATTCGGAGTCTGTTAAAGTTGATGTATACCTGGGAGCCCTGTAGACCATCTACAAGCTCAGAGCTGATTTATTTGAGAAATGCCGATCACAACTTCCGGCTAAGGAAAAGTGTTCTATCATGCAACGGCAATTTGGGACCACCATCATGGTGCATTATGATCGAATGGGTTGTAATCTCACCCATCTCACTCCTTTAACAAGGAGGACAGAAATGATGGATCCTGGAGTACCGCCCAGGACGGGAGAAGCGAGATGCACAGAGCGCATACTTCAGCAATCTCGCTAGAAGTTCCAAACAGCCAGGCAGATCCGCCAGTAGTACCGTTCTTCTCTCGCGATGAATTCCAGTGGACAATGTTGGGACTATCGGGATGCCGAATGATCTGGTGGGTCGACTCGAACTCGCGCGATGCTTATATCCAAAGCGCTTCATGACGATATCTTAGGCGCATGTGTCATGCCCTTCTTCCCACTTTATCTCGATCAGAGCGCATGAAATACGAGCCAGAAAGCCACCCAAAACACCCGAAGGATCCACGGTGGGGCTGGATGACCCGCACGTTGCTCGTGGACCCTGGGAAGAGCGCTGTTTGCGACTTCTTCTACTGACCACCATGGAGCGATTCAAGTTCTCGCTTTACCATTTGGTATAGGTTTCGACGTTTGAGATGCCGTCGCATTCTACTGCCGTCAAACGGCCATTGCGCTCCTAAGTTCTTGCGTGGTCCAGGATCGATTCTAACCAGATGAATGACCTCCAGCTCCAAATTCAATTAAGAAGATATACAATCAAGTCATCATTTTCAGGACCTCCAAGCCCCGAGGAACCATTCCCCTCTCCTCACACCTTTCAACCTCAGTCACGGAACTTCCCTCTAGCACACTGGTACACAAGTGCTCATGTTATGAAAACCAGTGCGCAAGGCCTTGTCCGCCCTCCGATGATGGCACCTCCCTCACTAACGACAGCAGCGCTCCTTACTCTTCTCCTAGCAGGCTTCACTCTCATGGCCCTCCTTGCGTACAGCAGCCCCCTTCCCTCCCCAGCAACCCTCCACAACGACCCCACTATGAACTCAGGAGATGAACCTTCAGCACCGCTCATCTCCAAGAGTGCCTCTGCCCTTCATACCCACAACACGTCTCCTCCTGGACTTCTCACCATCCACACCGATCCTGGCATGCTCTCCACCCAAAATCGAGAGAACCTGTCAGATTCTACCCACTCCAATGTCGACTCGCAGGGATCGCAGCGAGGACCTTCAGGGACTAACGTACGCAATCTTCGGAGATCATATTTGCTCTTCTGGACCAGATCTTGAGCCTTGAGACGTGTCTTGAGAGTGTCTACTTTGTAGACATGTTTCAAGGCTCAATATACCCTCCCGGATAGGCATTACTGACTCTGAAATCATAACCTAGACTGAAGATAGCGCGCCGGGGGATTGGGATGCTGCATTTTCGAGAGAGAATCAGGAGGCGCAGCAAGGGGGTGGGAGGACGGCGCCTGCTAATTCTGAAGTGCATGAGGGCGGGGTACATTAACGAGGTGAAAGGGAGATTGTATTGATATCATGATGTTAGATGTAGTCAGCCACCGGTGGCATACTAGAGGCGGTCTTCAGGTAGAGCCTGTTTGGAACCTCGGAAGGGTTACGGTCATCCTCTATCCATAATGCCCGGGACTTCAGAGCCCGGAGATTCTGGTGATACCTTGAAGTATAAATTATAAAGTATAAGCACAAAAGTCCGGCGCCTGGCTCGGCAAAAGCGCTAGCGAGGACCTGCAGCTGCCCCAATGTCTACGTAAATAAGGTACATTTGATCAAGTTCAACCATCGAGATGATCAATTGAAATGCCTCCTTGATTTTCACAGCTTGTACAAGGACAGGCCTCAGGCCATGGATAGCATCAATGTCTCGGAGCTCGTTGAGCGCCTAGGCAGTGATGAGGATGCCGTGCGCAAGATGGCCGTCTTCAAGTTGCAGTCCAATATTGGGGATCCATCGTTTGCTGATGTTTTCATACTGGAAGGAGGCCTAACGAAGTTACGATATCTAACACTCCACGCTACCGGCAATACTTTGGCCTATAGCTTGACCTCCTTCTCAAGACTGCTAGAGGTGGACAAGGGCTGGGAGTATGTCAATCAAGATCTTGTGGAAAGGGTAAACTTTCCTTCAGATGTTCTCAAGATGGCAGCTGACATGGAAATGTAGGTTGTCGAGCTGGTCGTCACTCATCCACTGGTCAACATCCTTCGCGGTGCCATGTCAATTCTAGTCTACATCGTCTCTCATCCCTATACCGCCTCGAGCAAGATATCTCAGCCCGACAGCTCTGGCTTTCGAGCTATACAGCCCGCTATGTCTGTGTACCCACAGTTCCTCGAGATGCTCGTCAGTAGATTATCTTCCGCCGATCACGCTTTATGTGCCAATGCGTTGCTGCTCATCAATTCGTTGATGCGAGAAGCTATTAACAACCACTCAGAAGCTGACTGGCCTAAATTCATCAAGCGGCTGCAAGACCTCGGTGTCATCAAAGCGGTCTATACACTCATGCAAAGCACAGCGTTACAGGATCTGTCACATCCACTGCTCGAGTATCAGGCATTGACAAAAGTGCTGCTTCGTAAATGGCGAGATATTCCTGTGGATCTAGATAAGTCGGATCATAGAAGAGCTCTGAAAAGCATACACTTAGCTAGCAATCCTGAAAGAGTCACGACACCAGTGGATGATGGAGAAGAGGGTGTGAAGAAGAGACATAACCCAGAAAAGTGGAGACGTCTGGGGTTCGAGTCGGAGACTCCAGCCTGGGAATTTGGAGATGTTGGTTATCTGGGGATGGTAGACTTGATAGAATATGTGAGACGGCAGGAGGATGGTTTTCAGAAGCTCCTGCTGGAGCAATCAACCAAGTTGGCAGAACAAAGATGTCCAATTGCCAGAGCAAGTCTTGCGGTGACTTCGATGCTTTGCGAGCATTTTGAAATTGAGAAAGCAGATATTGACGATGGCAAATTCCAGCTCTCCTTCGAGTCACGAACGAACTTTGACAAGGTTTTCAAGCCTCTGATTTTGCAGTGGTCATTACTCCACACTGCTGGTCTACAGGCTTTCTTCCGGCTATGGCAAACTACTGGTGCCGAGACTGAAGACTTCATAAAGATCGCCGACCTGGTCCGAATACTGCTCGAAGAAGTGGTTGGCGGAGCTACAAGATTGAGCGACGTCGATGTAGTCGAAACAGAAATTCAGCAATTCGAATTGAGACGATTAAGGCATTTGCAGATGGAGCTGCTTGAATTGACCTACGAAGGCCACTGGGGTCATCACCTTGGCCAAATCCGAGACGAGCTGTACCACGAAGCGTTGCAATTTGTCAAAGAGCAGCGCATACGATGTCTATTAGCAGGAGCATGGTTCCCGAACTGCCATGGTCACGATAGCGAAAAAGGCGCTGCGACAAAGCAGGATCTTAACCCGTCCAATCCAACTTCTCAACGCTATGCAAAACTAGCCCACAACAGGCGCTTTCTACACTACGCCGACTTCGACGTTCCTGGTGATGAGGAGCCAAATCTGGAGGGACTGCTTGAGAGGATCGACCTCACAACAGTGTTCGTTACCTCGGACGTCTCCACAGCCTCTGAGCCCAATTCCTCAACAACTACCCTTAAAGCGACTCACAACTCTATCTCTGCAAGGAAGATAACCATCCGTGGCTACCTTCCCTCCAACTCACGTCCCACCTCACCCAAGAGCCACACTCGTGCAGGCTCTATAGCAACCAAGCCGCCTCGAAAGGAAGTGACACTGCTTACCCTTCACCCACAAACTCACAATCTGGCCGTGGAATGGCTGGACGGTTTGCGCATGTTGTTGAATCAGCAGCCAATCACAAACGAGACCAAGAAACTGATTGCCATGGTGCAGGATTATGGCCTCAAGATCAGGCTGTTGAATGTCAGATTTGATGATATGCTTCTTGCGGGTGAGGCCCCTGAGATACCCAGCCGCGAAGGGCTCGACGAGGACTACCATTATGACATTTTCGGCACTTGACATGTTCGGACTGCAAATCAAGGGCGAATATTAATTTACGTGGGTAGACGAAACAGCAAAATGGCGCTTCGATTTGTGTTAAGATACCCTATTACTTTACTGTTGCTATTTTCCATCGGTAGTTTCCGTATGCTGTCATGTTCTCATAACTCGTCAAAAAGTCGTAACGTGGCGTCTGCGTCCACGGCCGAACTCCTCGCGGTCGTGTCCTCCACTCTTTTCTTCGTCTGCCCACCTGGCCTCCAACCCTCATCATCTCGTTGCCTTTCTCTTCTCTGCTCCCATTTTCCCTGGCGGATGCCCACCACGTCCTCAAACACCTCCGTCCGATTTCCCAAATGCACAACCTCATCCGTCATGACATATTTGTCCCGTCGCCATTGCCTGGTCGCCGTCAATATCAAGAGTAACCCAATCAGGAGTCCCAATGCCCCCCACAGCATTTTCAACCTCCTGCCAATTATCCGTCTCGATTCCCTATCTTGCAGTGAGCTCCTCTCGACTTTCTCTCTCACTCCATGTAGCCTCTCTCCCAACGTCCCTACTTTCTCCATTCCCTCCTTTATACGTGTTTCCAACTGAGAGATACGACCAGCTTGAGCGTCAAAAGACTTGTCAGAGGAAGAGATTTGAGTTGTTATTTCCGAGGTGAGGGAGGAGCTCAAAGACGTGAAGCGCGTTTGGAGGGTCGAGGTTTGGGTGGAGAGGGACGATAGGGAGGAGACTGCGGAGGCGAGAGAGGAGGTTGAGGAGAGGAGGGAGTAGTATGTGTAATCTAGGCGGCGGGTCGTTGTAGTCGACAGGGTCGAGAGGGTGGTGAGGCGGGTTCGGAGATCACTTCAACAGTAGAGTAATGAGCATCTTCGTTGCCGTTCAATCCAGGTACAGGAATGTAGACACACTCATCAGCAGCGTCCCTCCTCACCCGCAACCTCTCCACCTCCTTCCACGCCTCCCTCTCCCGCTCCCTCTCCTTCTCCGCCTCCTTCACTTCACTCGCCCTCTCATTAACCTGCGGCTGCTCCAGTCCTCTCGAGGGGCTCTTGCCGTCATCTACCCTACCGTCTATCCTACTATTCGTCTTGGACAGAAAGTCACCGAACGGGTTTGAGGTGGCGGGAAGGATTGCGGATTGGGGGACGCTTTTGTCGTGGTGTTGGTGGTGGACGCGGTGGGGGTGGTGCGGAATGTGGTGTCTATGGGCGGGTTTGGTGGGAAAGGTTGTCGAGCGGGGCGGAGTGGACAGCTGGGGCTGGTTGGAGGGGGTGGTTGGGCGGATCATCGTTGAGGGTGTGGTTGATGGATGGGGACGGGGGAGGGATGGTGGGGATATGGGGAATGTTTATGGATTTTTAGGTCACGGTGGAGCTCGATGATGGTCTCGTTCACGTTATGGAAAACTTATCACATGCAATAGACTGGACAGTTCAGTACCTCTGGTAGCTTTGAAATCGTCCTACTCGTCCTTCGTGGTGTCATGCCTGAATCTAGGAGTAACCAAGCCAACTCCAAGCGCTATGCTTCGATAATCGTGCCCTCAGATCGTTCACCTGCTCTCGTAGTGCCTCCCGACTCATGACTTCAGCAGCTTGTTCCTCTTCTCCCTCCTCTTCAGTCTCTCCACCCTCTTGGCATGCATCTTTTCCGCCATCTTCTCATAGCGCTCCTTCTCTTCCTTCGCTGCTCTCTTGTCTTTGATCGCTTGTATACGACTCTGATACTCTCCGTTCAGTACCATATCCATACGGCCAGCGGGCATCTTGACGTACTTGTCTTTCATTCTCTTTCTCATCCTTCATTTCCTTTTCCTTTGCCTTCATGGCAGTCATTGCTTTCCGCCCCGCAGTGCGCTTTTCGTACGAGGTCTGCCCGGATGTTGGGCGGAAGGCGCACTTTTGGGGGTGCCATTGCTTGCCTGTATCAAAGTCAGTGAAGTGACCCTGAGCCAAACCAAATATGTCGTGAGCTCTTACCATTCTTTCGTAATCCTGGAGTTGTCAATGCTGATGCTGTAGGCGCGGAATTGGACATCATACCTACCGCGCTGCCTCTCGGATGACTTTCAAGTATGAACTGCTAGTATACTAGCGGAGCATAACAATGGTGGTATTCCAGGACCAAAAAGAGTGCCAGAGTCGCTGTCGTTACCGAATAGAAATTTCTCCAGCTCTTCACAGGCAAATCGATGTTCTCAGAAGGGAAGGTATAGCGGCACTAGAATCAAGAGGTGAAAAGGGTCTCACACGAGCACAGAAATCTCACTTTTACAACTCACGCCAAAGAACAAAGAGCTTGAATCCTCTCGCGCTATATGAACTCCGATTCTCTTATCACAGTTCTCCAACTCAAAATATGCCAAGCATGTCCTGAACCTATTCTACTCTACTCACCGCTCGCAACTTATTGTAACCACTCACAAGCGAGATGCTCAACCGATAACGCTACAGGGCCGTTCTATCTCTTCTAGAACGGCCGTCTGCCTTGACCTTTTCGGCTCCTGGCTTTGTAAGAAGCTGCACCATCGATGACCGACGCGGTGGAAGGAAGGATAACATCCTTGACAAATAGCAAAGATGACCTCCCCTCGGAGCCTGTTTGCAAAAATTCAAGCGACCATGGAACTGAGGCATTGAAAGACCTCACATTTGGCTCTATAGCTGGTGTGATAGGCAAAACGATTGAGTACCCTTTTGACACTGTGAAAGTGCGGCTGCAGTCCCAGCCAGACACTCTTCCTCTCCGCTATCAAGGGCCTCTTGATTGCTTCCGGCAATCTCTCCGAAAAGAAGGAATCACAGGTTTATACCGCGGTATCAGCGCTCCTTTGCTCGGCGCAGCGATAGAGACGAGTAGTCTCTTTTTCAGTTACCGCATCGCTCAAACCGCGCTCCAAGCTACCATCATCTCACCCGAGAATGGCAATCCGCTACCGTTGAGTGCATTGATAGCCAGCGGAGGAGCCAGCGGTGCCTTTACAAGCCTCTTACTTACACCAATCGAGTTGGTGAAATGCCAGATGCAAGTCCCGCTCTCGCCTTCCAGTGTTCAAGGCCCAGGACCTCTCTCGATCATTGCATCAGTCTTCCGTCACTACGGCATTCTTGGCTTCTGGCATGGGCAGCTGGGAACTCTGATCCGCGAGACTGGGGGTTCAGCAGCTTGGTTCGGAAGCTACGAGGGTGTGAGTGCGCAGTTCAGGGAATATAATGCTCGTTATACACCATCGATGGTGAAAGCAGCAAAGGAAGACACACTGCCGTTGTATCAACAGATGCTCGCAGGGGCCACAGCCGGCGTGACCTACAATTTTGTCTTCTTCCCTGCCGACACGATTAAGTCGCGGATGCAGACCGAGGAAGTCAGCGCTGGCGGGCAGGTACGGAGGACTTTTTGGGGATCCGGAAAAGCGTTGTGGCAACAGCAAGGAATTAGGGGTCTGTACAGGGGCTGCGGTATCACGGTGGGAAGGGCCGCTCCGAGCTCGGCATTCATCTTTGCCGTTTACGAAGGATTGAGAGGGTGGGGACGATAGGTGTTCCTGGTGGTTGACAGGCATCTGTTTGAAAAGCATCAGAAAACCCCATGCTCCAAACGGTTAGGATGATTTCGAATCGTTGTATTGTAACGATTGCTATCTTGGCCCAATCATTACTTTGTTGATCACTTATGAAGGCCTGCTACACGACAAATTGGTCTCGCAATCCACAGCGCGGATTATGACCAATAGTAAGAATGCGACAAGCCGAGATGCATTTTCGAAGGTCTGATACTGGATCATGTTCGGAGTAGCCCGCCCGGCTGAGTCAAACAGGTTTCAAATACGGACCTGCACTGCTTCAGAGGTGAATGACCGGACTTCTCCTACCGAGACATGCTTCCACGGGGGGTGGAATCTGATTCACTGCAACGGCTCTTAGCTGTTTTCATGCATGATCGTTGTTCCGAGGTGATTCTAAGTACTTCATGCAGGGTTGTCCTTTTTTCCCCCCCAACTCTGAGCAGGTAATCTATCGTATGCAATATGCAGCAAGCATGTCGTCGAATCAGCAGTATATGCATAACAGTGACACGGAAATAATGCAATATCAAGTGCAGAGAGATTTCCCTTGCAGATATTGGAGAGAGAGCTTGATATCCGGCCGTCGGTACTTTACTTTCTGCCAGGTAAAGCAAGGTAAGCTAAACTAAGCTAAACTAGGCTAAGGTACCTTAGCCAAGACTCTTGCCGGGCACTAGCAGGCTGGCACTAAAGCATGTCAGTCTGATGTTAAGCATCTCGGCAATGTGAAAGCCGGGTTTATGGTGTGGTGTTGGCATCGGCCAGTCGGGAGAGAATGTTCCAGACTTTTGCCCCAGGTGGCAGGTGGGTGCCACTGCCACTGCCACTGCCACTGCCACATGGAAGCCTCGAGCTCAGCGTTTTTGATTCTTCGGTTTTTTGGAGCCACGTTTGAGAGCAATCACTCCGGAGACTTAATAGACTTAATCATTAAGCATTCTCTGGATAATCGACAAGGAATGACTACCGAGTCCCGACTTACCTTACCTACTTTACCTTACTTCTTCCGCCAACCATCAGCATCGATGCCGATCGATACTAAGGCGTACATGTAGTGACGTGCATCTGGAATCTGGATGAGCGCGTAGCTGAAACACACTTCAATGATGAGGGTGTGAAGGGCGGCTATCGGACAAGTGCTTACTCTCCGAGCGTGGGATACTCTAATACGGAGTACTTAACTAGTTACTTTATCATTTACGAGGACTGTGCGGGAGGTGATGAAGGATTTGGTTGGCAGATAATTGTCACGAGTGATTTTAAAACCGCGTCCTGATGGGTGTAGATCTTCGGTAATTCAATGTGATAATAATCATAATAGTGAATGAATATTCAAGTATTCTTCATTTCATGGAAAAACAAAAACAAAAACAAAAAAAACAATCTCCGTAGACGCTGGGCTGTGAAGCAGGTGCATTCGGGCGTAGTGTTGGTCAGCCTTCTCCTCACCGGTAATTTTGTCAGACTGGCAGCTTGTGAATGTGAACCCTCCTTTTTGCCCCCCGAGCCTTCTTTCCCCCCCCCGCACACCCCGAAAAGAAAATAAGGGATAAGGGGGGAAAAGAAAAACAATTTGCGCATTATTACTTATATTTCTCTTTCCCTCCAATCAATATCTCGCATTTCTTCTTCTTTCTCCAAACCCCAGAAAATCCTTCGCCAAATTATTCCATTGGCTCTCAAGACCCCAATCTACTACTTTACTTACTCTACTTTACTTCACTTCGCTTTACATCCAAAGTTCCCTCCCACCAACGCGCGCTTGCTGAGCCTAAACAAGCACCAACACCCCTCGTCACTGGCTGACTGGCTCGCTCTTCTTCTTCTACTTCTTCTTCTTCCAATCAACACGCCCGCAAGCATCTCCGAAAACCGAAAATTTCTCTCCCACTTCCCACTCCCCAGTAACCTACCCCACGGAAGATCGACTGCAACCGCGTTTAGGGAACAAGGCGACCTATCGCATTGCAGACTATTCTGTTCCCCAGCTTTATCGACAGAAGTTCGCATCAAGCAGCGACGTCAGGTGATTGTTGCTGGACCCAGCCCCACGGTCGCGCAAGCTGGCATTCATGCGACTCTCGGCCACTGAGAATGCTTAATTGGCATCTTACAACGTGCGTCTCATTCTTTAGTTAGACCCTTCATCCACAGCCACGAGAGCGATCACGGTTTTGGTCAGCGTTTGTATGGCGACGACGCGTTAATTGGGTCACTGATGTACTCTCTCTAACCATGACGCATCAAACAGGGTCATTAACATCGGAGCACAGTACGGACATACCTAGACTGCTGCGATCCTTCTTCTTCAGTGTTGTGCACCATTTTCCACGGCTGTCGCAAGGAAGCAAACCAGAATTACACGAGACCTGCATACCCGACAGCGTTTGGATAACTATAGAAGCGCTTCAACACCGCCCAAGTCCCTCATAAACCACCCACACGCCATTCACACCCAGTCCCTCCGAATAACTCGAAACACTGTCCATTTAAATTCATTCCGGGCGCCATTCACCATTCACAAGTCTTACAGCACGCTGGGATCCCTAACACGTTCTGTTGATCGACAAGGTATGTTTTCGGCCTGCAGCACCTCCGCTCTCCGCGCGCTATACTCTGCCAACGCATCAAATCATCACCGCTCTTTGCCATGTCCATGCCTTGCTCCCAAATATCAACCCCGCTCCCTGTCGTGTCCATATCTATTAATGTAATCAATACTAACACCTTCCTGGCTTTGAAGCCGACAGTTGACGCTCCGAACCTTTGGCTTTCATTGCCCGCCTCATTTCACACCTGTCTGTACTGTTGGAAGAAACTCTCCAACGGTGGCGACGAAAGCTTGCCCCGACAATACACCACTAAGCACTCGCACCGCCTCATACCTACCCAAAGGAGTCGACGTCGCAGGCAATTGTGCTGCTAGTGTAAATCGATCAAGAAGACATTAGTGGAGTCAATATTCCCTCAAATTGACGCTCGTTGTCTAGCGCCATACCACGACCGTTGAGGCACTCGGAGAATCGGTGGCCAGCCATTATCGTGGCGAACCCTGAGTCACGAGTAAGTTGACAGCGCACGCAAATCGTGGAGTCTGTTCGCTGCATAGAAGCCCAACCACCGCCTCACTGAGCAGCTTCTGTCACCCAGCCTCGGTCACGCCTTATCGTGTACTACGAACCGCAAATCATTAAAAGCACAGGGAATCTTCGGCCGATCCAGTACACTTATTGTTATTGTCAAAAGGAAAATTACTTTTGGTGAGTTTCTGATTTGTTACTTCATCCAATCGAACGTAAGGTTTATGTGCTGGAAACTAAGAGATGCCAGGGCTGCAGCTCCGCGCATAAAAATCATCCAATCCACGCAGCCGGCTGGCCCCGCCGCGAAGACTGTGCGGAGACCACAGAGTAGCTCCTTCCAATCATAACCAAAGAAGTCTACTCTGCAGTTCTGACATCTTCAATTCCCCACACATCCTTGGTAAGCTTCCCCATGGTCCACCCTTTTCAGCCTATCCGACCCTTGATCACGCTGATTCGCGTGTGCAGGCACAGACGCCGTTCACGAGCTACACAACAAACACACAATAAACCTACTCGACCAGGTTCCATCCATGATGGATTACGCGCAGCCTCAAGCACATTCTTACGGCCAGCATCCGCAGGCGCCGCACATGCAGGCTTACTCCAACGCGCAACAGAGTCCAACAATTACATCTCCACCTAGCCAACCGCCGCACATGCAGCATCAGACACAGGCTTCCACCATTCTGCCCTCTCAAGGACATTCATACCCGACGCAGCAACCACCTCAGGCAAACCACACGGGCCTCAACTATCCTCAGTCGTATGTTGGTCAGCCAAACATGCATCAACCGTACAACATCACGCCCGGCCAAGCAGCAGCTATGGCTACCGCAGCCGCGTCAGGGCAGCAGAGTTATGGCTACCCGATGCCTCAGACTTCGATGGCTGGATCACCGCGGATGGGAGGTATCGCTGTTAAAAATGAGCGAACACCACGGTCACCACCGCAAGTGCCGAATACGATGGGACCTCTACCTTCGCAGGTCTCTCAAAACCACAGGATGTCCCAAGGTCATATGGGACACTCTGTCAGCAGCCCACACGGCCAGAGCGCGCAAACAGTGATGATGGGCCACCAGCCTCCACGAAATTCTGTCCCTCCTCAGATGCCGCCACCTCCACAGCATCAGCATCAGCAACACCACGCGGCTTCTCCTGAAGCGGGGCCTACAGGTGCCGAAGAAGCGCCGCTTTATGTAAACGCCAAACAATTCCATCGGATCCTGAAGCGACGCGTGGCTCGTCAGAAGTTGGAAGAGGCACTTCGGCTCACCTCAAAGGGCCGTAAGCCATATCTGCATGAGTCGAGACATAAACATGCGATGCGGCGGCCAAGGGGACCTGGGGGAAGATTTCTAACTGCCGAGGAAGTTTCGCTCATCGAAAAAGGCGAAGGCGGAGAGCTGCAGAAGTATGCTCCCAAGGTTCTGGAGAACCTGAACAACCAGGAATCCGACACCTCAGGGCCAGCCAAATCGAGTGATTCTGCTGGGTCCAAGAGGAAATCGGGCGCTCTTGACGATGATGAGAGCACCCCTCCAATCAAGAAGGCCAAGGTCGAACCGGCTAAGGACACACCGAGCGGCGAGAGCGAAGAGGCGGATGAAGAGGACGAGGGCGATGATGAAGCATAATCGTCGCACAATATGAGACCGTGGAAGTCTTCGAGCCGTTCGAATCCTTCCAGGCTACCTCACGACTTACGCAGCGTTGATTTTCGATTCGATTCAGCACAGCACATTTGGACCAATCACGATTTTAATTTACAACAACCCCAACTCTCGTTTGTCGACACATCATGCAGCTCGCAGATACCCCCTTGCGTTGGAAGAAGAATGTTTTTTATGGGATCAAGCGTTGGCGAAAGTTAGAAAGATCTTCCCTCACTGGGACAAAAGGGACCCATTTTGCAGGGATAGGAAGGATATTTTGCATGGATTTGGGGAAGCAGTGACTATATCCCTCATGCTGAACGAATCTCTTTCTCCCTGTCAGCTTGCATACAGTATGTATTGATGGATATTGCATGGCGTGGGGAATCATTGTGATTGTAGGATCATCAGATGAGCTTGCCGCCGTGTTAGATAGCAATAATGGAGACTGGTCTTCAACGAAGGTGTCGCAGATTGCCATCATGTAGTCCATGTCAAAGCTATGGTAAAAGGCGCGATTAACATGTAGATTCATGTCGCAGTGCTGCTGTGTAAAGCTCGTGCCGGGCCCGGCTGTTGGAAGTCGGCCTTGGCGCCGCCTTGCTTGCTTTGCCGTAATTTCGCCACGACAGCAAACACCCGAAGCTGATGTGTCCCTACGGACCCTACCTCACGAGCGCAAGGGAATCCCCTCCTTCTTCCCTTATCAACCATCCAGAATGATTCTACGAAGCTCTTCGCCTCTCCTCATCTCCCTGTCCCTTCTCCTTTTGCAAGCATTATGGTTGACGGGACCCGCCTCCGCAAAGAAAGATGCTCCACGCATCACCAAATCCAAACTCGATAACCCTCCCGCAGCCCCACCTCTTTACTTCGAAGATTCAGATGTCATACTTATACTTGATAATGCTGGAAACGTAATAAGATCAGAGGATGCAGGCGAGGAGTGGGGCGTGATTGACGATGTTCCGGAAGGACGAGCATTGGACCTGGTGCTGCACCCCTACAACAACGAGATGGCATACGTATGGGGCAAAGAGACTACACACTGGGTAACCGACGATCGGGGCAAATCATGGCGGAGTTTTGATATACAAGGGTACCCTGTCCCATTTCGACCGCCCTTCAGCTTCCATGCGGCAGACAGCGACAAGGTGATTGTCAATATCTGTACTGAACTGTTTGTGTGCGATGAGATGGCTTACTACACGAAAGACGCCTTCAAGACTCCTCCCATAGAGATGAGGCAGGACACCAGGAGCTGCGTATTTGCTAGGTCAACGCCGCAGTTCCAAACAAGTGCAGATGACAAGAACGACGATCGAGTGGTCTGCGTTGTGAAGGGACGGTATGCGAGTATTTGGTCAACGAGAGACAACCGGCTGGTGGTCTCAGATGATTACTTCAAGGACGAGGAGGAGGAGCCGGTTCTGGAAGGTGACCGTACTGTTCAAGGGATCATCAACATCGCTGTCGTGAAGGGCTTTTTGGTCGCCGCTGCAAGTGCTAAAGGTACGGATGAGCTGGCGATGTATGTGACGGATGACGCGCAAACTTGGCACAGAGCTGTGTTCCCCAACGATCATAAGTTGGAGGAAGATGCCTACACAATCCTAGAGAGTACCAATTATAGCATTCAGGTGGATGTCATGACTACATCCCCGATCAATGCTATGGGGGTTCTCTTTACGAGTAACTCGAACGGAACCTACTTCACCCGGAATATTGAGCATACAAATAGGAACTACAAGGGCATCGTGGACTTTGAGAAGATCGCGGGTATCCAGGGGATCGTGATGGTCAATGTAGTGGACAACTGGGAGGACGTGGAACAGTCGCCCCTTGCTCAGAAGAAGATCAAGAGCAAGATCAGCTTTGACGATGGGAGGAAATTCCAGTCACTCACCACAGACGACGACGACGAGATACATCTCCACTCTGTGTCACAAATGACCAACTCGGGCAGAGTATTTTCAAGTCTGGCGCCAGGGCTTGTCATGGGAATTGGCAACAGAGGCAAATACCTCAAGGATTACGAAGAATGTGACCTCTATGTCTCCGACGACGCCGGCTTGACCTGGCGGAAAGCAGTGAAAGAAGCTCACAAATATGAATTTGGTGACAGAGGTTCGGTATTACTGGCTATCTATGACGAGGGTCCCACGGACACCATTCAGTATTCTCTCGATCATGGTAAATCCTGGGAGAAGGCAGACCTCGGTGACAAAGTTCGTGCCAAGCTACTCACGACCACGCCCGACTCTACCAGTCTCAAATTCTTCCTCATGGCTACTACCGGCGGAGGATCAGATCTGGAGCATATGGCAATCGCTATTGATTTTGCTGAGCTTCATGAACGAAAATGCAAGGACAATGACTTCGACCGGTGGCCTGCGCGCGTGGACGAGAACGGAGACCCGACTTGTATCATGGGCCACAAACAATGGTACCGCAGACGCAAGGCCGATGCCGATTGTTTCGTAGATCAAGAGTTCAAGGACCCTGTACCAGAGTTCGAGCCTTGCGCTTGCGCTAATGAGGATTTCGAATGTGACTACAACTTCGTTCCCAGCGACGATGGAAGCGAGTGCATTCCGGCTGGGACTTTGCCAGTGCCTAAAGATCAATGCGATCGTTCAGATGCCAAATACATGGGCAGCTCTGGCTTCAGGCTTATTCCTGGCAACGACTGCGATCGAGAAGCCAAGGGTGCTGTCGCGTTGGACGAAGAAGTAGAGCGGTCTTGCGACGATACCATCAGGCCACCCGCAAGTGGACAAATAGCAAAAGAGCTCTCAACTTTCCGTGCAAGACGCTTCGAAGAGTACTTCTACTTGGAGAGGACTGACAGGAGTACGGGTACCGACGAGACCATTGTCATGCGGACTGACGACCGTAAGGTTTATATTACTACCGATGCTGGTAAGACCTGGGATCAGATTCTCGAGGATGAAGAGATCACGGCCATTTACCCTCACCAATATTTCAATGATGTGGTATACTTCCTTACCGGCAGCAAGAAAGTATTCTACTCCGTCAACAGAGGCGTCACTATTGACCATTTCGAAGCCCCAGCCGAGCCCACTCGAGACAAGCTTCAGATCCTGAGCTTCCATGCTGACTATAAAGACTGGCTCATTTGGACTGGTGCAGTGGACTGCGATGGATCTAGCAAGAGCAATTGCCATAATGTTGCCTTCTTCAGTGAAGACAGAGGTGCCACTTGGGACCATAGATTGCGTTATGTCAACAAGTGCGAGTTCATCAAGAAGGAAGGCCGTGGAGGTAACGAGAAGCTCGTGTACTGCGAGCAGTACCAAGACGAGAAGCCGGACAACCCTCTGCAGCTGAAGTGGAGCGACAACTGGTTCGCAGACGATCACAAGCCATTCAACGATATCATTGATTTTGCCACCATGTCTGAATTCATCGTTGTAGCTGCCAGACGGGAAGATGACCGTGACGCTCTTACATGCCATACCAGCGTGGATGGCAAGACGTTCGCCGACGCAAGATTTCCGCCGAGCTTTGAGGTGCCTGCTCAGAAGGCTTACACGGTGCTGGATAGCTCTACACACGCCGTCTTCTTGCATGTAACGGTCAATAACCGCGAAGAGTCTGAGTATGGTTCAATCATCAAGAGTAACAGCAACGGCACATCCTATGTCATGAGTCTCAATGGCGTCAACAGGAATGGTCGGGGATATGTCGATTTTGAGAAGATGCTTGGCCTCGAGGGAGTCATTTTGGTCAATACTGTTGCCAACATCGACGAGGCCGATCAGGGTAAATCCAAAAAGCTGAGAACCATGGTTACGCATAACGATGGTGCTCAATGGGCACCTTTGCAAGCCCCATCTAAAGACGCTGAGGGTCGTAAATACGAGTGCGATCCGAAGGACACCTTGAAATGTTCTCTGCATCTTCACAGCTACACCGAGCGCCGGGATCCGCGTGCTACATTCTCGTCTCCATCAGCCATTGGTTTGATGATGGGTGTCGGTAATGTTGGCCAGTATCTGGGCAGGAAACCTGATGCAGACACTTTCATCACTCGAGATGGTGGCGTTGAATGGTACCCTGTTAAGAAAGGCAACTACATGTGGGAGTACGGCGACCAGGGTTCGATCATCGTCATTGTTGAAGAGGATGTTGCCACTCGATCTGTTTTCTATTCTCTGAACGAAGGCATCAACTGGCAAGAATATGTCTTCGCAGACGCCGACTTCACTGTTGCGGCCATCTCTACTGTTCCCTCTGACAAGTCACGGAATTTCATTCTGTGGGGTAAAGAAAGCGCAAGTGGCAGCAACGTTGCTACCGTCAATCTTGACTTTACAGGCTTGACGGACAAGCAATGTGAATTGGACGAGAAGAATCCAGAGAAGGGTGACTACCTCCTCTGGGAACCCAAGCATCCTACTCAGAAAGACAACTGCCTATTTGGACATGTTGCGCAATACCACCGCAAAAGACCTGAAGCCGAATGTTATAACGGGTTAGACATACAACATCTGCACAGCATCTCCCGAAACTGCGATTGCACGAGGGAGGATTTTGAATGGTAAGGCTATCATCTTCAGTCCCCTTAGAAACACATTCTTGCTGATACGTTTCTGTAGTGACTACAACTACGAGGTCGGCAATGACGGCTCCTGCAAACTCGTCCCTGGTCTGCCGCCCCCCGACCACAGCCAAGCTTGTGTCGAAAACCCGGAATTATTGTCCTATTTCACTCCCACAGGCTATCGCCGCACTCCACTCGACACTTGCAAAGGCGGCCAGGAACTAGAATACACATCAAAAGAAATACCCTGCGAAGGCCATGAAGGCGACTTCGACCGTGAACAGCGCAAGAAAGGTCTCAGCGGGTTCTGGTTCTTCGCGCTGGTATTCGTCTTACCGGTTGTCATCGCAGGAGGAGTCGGGTATTGGGTCTGGGCTAATTGGGATGGCAAATTTGGACGTATCAGGCTTGGAGATTCAGGCAGTGCGTTTGATGCAGACAAGCCATGGATCGCATGGCCAATTACGGCGGTCAGTGCTGTGGTTGCTGTGGTAGCTACGTTGCCGCTTCTGCTCGCGAGCGCGTGGAGAGGGATTACCGGGCTGTTTGGAAGTGGAAGGAGGTATACGCAACGGAGCGATTTTGCGAGAGGGGGAAGATACGCAGTTGTTGACCCAGATGAGGACGAGTTGTTAGGAGATGAGGAGGAGGAAGAAGTGTAGGATAGGATTGGAAGGGAAAGAGGACAGCGGCATTGTTAGGCGTTTCTGGTATTCAGGGAGAATGATAGGGAGCGTGCATTCCTTCCTTCCGGGATGTATTCTAGTTGTAGCGAACCTGAATATAATGGAGCGGTGCGTAGATACCAATCGTTTACGCTCAGCAGCTTCCACTCGTTCCTAGATATCGACAGACTGATCCTAGCTTTTGAGTTCATACCGACCGAGTCGAATCCTCATTCCTCAACACTCCTCTACTTCATACCATCTTTCCACGGGACATTTTCCCTCCATCCGATCCTATCAAGATCTGGACAATGCACTCTGAGCCAAGCCAAACCCGAAAGGGGTCTGGCCAATTCGGTCTTGACGACCGTTCCGTAGAGGAGCTCAAGGACAAGGCTATTGCTGCGAAGGGGCGGGCATACTGTAGGTGCCGTCTATCTACCATGTCTATACCTGTCCTGCAGAGCGTTTGCATCAACTTGAAAAACTGTTCGTCCGGTTCGAGACGACAGGATCCTGAGGCTGGCAGGATGTAAACTTGTTACGTTGGTGGGATCCCATCTAATACCTATGCAATTCTCCACATTGCCCAAACATTTACGCCCTTCCCGTTGGATCGTTGACGATTCCTCCTTCTTGTACTTTGTCGATCTATCAATGCTGTCTGCTCACCTGCATCCTCATGTACTGATCTCCGTGCACACAATATACGATTACATTATCCATGGGCTGATGCGAGGGCAGGTCCATACTCCCACTTCCGCGTCGGTGCCGCTCTGCTGTCCGAAGATGGCTCCATCGTCGTAGGAGCCAATGTGGAAAACGCGAGCTATCCCGTCGGGACGTGTGCCGAGAGATGTGCATTGGCCACCGCTGTGGTCAGTCGACGTTTTGTGTCCCATTCTCGTTGATCTCTTTTCCACGAGCCCACTTTGGCCTTGTTTACGTACGCTATCGCTCTCGCGAGAATTGGAAACCACGGGTCCACCCCTGCAGCGGTTTCTGTCCTTTTCGAACGTCAAGAGGGTAACGACGGGCGCAGACGCAAGGCCACTTATCCTTCAAAGCAATCGCTGTAGCCACAGACATCACCCCACCAGGTACGTGTATCGTCGGAGCAAGACTCCCTCCGTGCTCTTCTCCTCATCCCACAAGAACACAAGGGGACTGACCAGGCATGATAAAAGCGTCACCGTGTGGCATGTGCCGTCAATTGTGTGTCGCCGTCTCCTCCCACGCCTTTCTCCACAGCTTCACACCGCGTCTCTCACAACATCCACTGACCATCGAACACCAGCATCCGTGAATTTTGTCCCCTCTCGACACCTATATTCATGTACGACAAGGACGGGAACCGTGTGGTAAAGACGCTCGAACAAGTATGTGTGGACTGTTTTACTTGGCTCGAGCATGGGTCTGATACTGATTGGCGGTGAGTGCAGCTGCTACCCATGAGTTTCGGACCTGAGGATTTGAAGGGAGCGTGTTCGAGGTAGTGGAACGGTTAGGGTGAAGAGATGGGGAGGATGGGTTGAGCCTGTTGAACCGAAGGGGGTTGGTAAAGGGGTGAAGAGGAGTGGTGCACCAAACGGAGATGGGGGTGCACGGTTGTGAATGGCAAAAATTGATGTAGGTAACAGCGCTTGAGCTTTCAACGCTGGCCCATATGGAACCCAAAGGTCACATCAACCAAGGATGACCCGTCTACCAAAGCAAAGTCATAGCCACTTTATGAAGTTTGGGGACAATGACAGGCGGCTGTTCAAAGGTGACACTGGCGTAAGAACATCGCATGGTTTCGGCAATATATCCATCTATGCTTTTTTCATGCTCAACATTATCGTCGTAAAGCTCCTCCAGCAACACGTACAGACACTTCCCTTCCAACAAGCCTTTAATCTTCATCCCCACCCGCCTCTGTCCCCTCGATTTCCTCACCGTCTTCCTCCTCAAACGTCCCCACCGGCACCTCATACAATCTCAACAACGCCTTATTTGGATCCTTCACGAGGACGTATTTGCCATCTTTCATGTTCCGGCACATATCCACAATGGTCCGGACGATACCCCAGCCATTAGCGAGGTTGAGATTCATCTGCTCAGCAAATTTGCGAGGATCGTAGCCGACGACGCCGAGGATGACATGTCGGTCGGGAATTTTGGGGGAAGCTCGGGATACGAATCTGTCAGTAAAGGTTAGCAGATTGTGTGGCAGAGGTAGGCGGACGGTGATAACTGCTTACCCGAGTTTCATCACGTCTGCGCCAGCCAATATAGCTTGTGTAGCCCATCTCGCCAACTTGCAGCTGTTGTTCTTCATCTCCGTTGCTACCACCGCACCGCGCTGGCTCGTAAGTTTGGTCCTCCAGTCTAGAGCACCGCCGCTACCTTGTGCCTTATGGTCAAACTCGTTCAGTGCTTTCAGGGTGAGTAATTGGTCTTCGCCGCTGATATTATTCTTCACAACCGCATCGATCTCTGTGCGGACGATCAGATGCAGAGGATCTTCGTCTTTCTCGAGCGAGAGGTCGAAGCGTCTGTATTTGTAGGCTTTGGATGCTAAAGGTTCGGTCTCTTCTGACGGGTTGTAGAAGGGGTTTTCGTGCTGCATTTCCAACTTGCTCGTTTCGCTCTCCATGACGGTTTGATTCGCAAAATTGTGATTAATGAAGGTGGCCTCAAGCGCCAGTGCGCCGGGAAAATTGATGCTATCTTTATTGCCCTCGCTCGCTTCCAAAGGTGCATCCGCGGCATTCTCGTTTACAGATACCATATCCAGGGACGAGCCGTCTCGCTTGTCAAGATACAGTTTGCTCCCTTGCTTCGTAATGACTAAATCCCAACTGTAGACGGATCGGGGAGCGCACATGAGCATGGAGAGGATATTGTCGGTGGCAAAAATGGTGGCTTCGTCTTTTTCGGCCAGTTCTTGGATTATGGGATCTGAAGAGGTGGTGACATTGTACGCAGCGCGATCCACGACGTTGAGTTTTCGCTCCGTATTCTTGACAGGAGGCTTGTCGTAGCCGCGGTCATAGTAGTAGAGGAAGCCATAGCTATCGATGTCCTCACCGGCTGAGGTTTCAAGGTTGAGCTTCAGCAACCGGGCGAAGTCAATCTCTTCTAACATCGTCCAGTCAGGTTTGATGTTTACAGAGGAGTCGCGATTTCGTTGGGGCTTGTCATAATCCTTCCAGCCGAACCTTCGTCCGCCTCGTCCGCCTCGAGCACCTCCCCGTTGGTCGTAGAGGTAGGCTTGCTGGCCACCGCGGCCGCCCACTCTTGAGTTCTGGAACGTGCCTCGTCCTCCACGTTGATCGCGCCCGCCTCGTCCTCGACCTCGGAATATGGTACCACCGCCACGCCCGAAGCCTCGAGTCTTGGTTGAAGTACGAGTATTGTCAACCACGGAAAAAGATGATTCATCTTCTGCTACTTGAACTGCGAATAGGCTGGACGTGCCAGCACCGTAGACTTGCTGATCTGCAAATATTATCAGCTTTAGTATTCTTACGCTACTACTTTGGAATGCATTACCTCTGTAGTTCCTGTTATACTGCTGCCTGCCTCCTCGTCCATCCCTATCTTTGCCCTCAGTTGTCCAGTCCGCCATCCGGCCCAGCTTGTCTCCCTTCGAGTACGGTGCGTATGGAACGCCATCGACGAGCGCGTCGGTAGTGGTGGGTGGACCCCATGAATCTTCAGATGGCAGGGCCGTGACTATCGATGAGAGAGAGATAGGCATGTTGCAGGCTGAAGTGATCGTGAGACTGTTGTGGGGAAAGGTCAAAAGTTCGTGCATATTTCGGCTAAATAAACGGCGAATAAGTTCGCCCTATCCTCGATCCGATCTTTTTAGGGCCAGAACCTAAAGTACGACCTTTTCCTCCTTTGCTTTACCAGCAGGCATGCGACGAGAACACGTTATGGAAAGATAAACCTATTCCGAGACTTTCGTCAGGATGCTCTAAGCTCCAAGCCATTCGAGATGAAAATATAAGCACCACAGGATACGGAGCTGAGCTCATGCACTCCTGCAATCCTGCATTATACAGCAGGATTTGTAGCCAGAGCTCGACATTATGTAGGTCAAGTATAGTCACTTTTACGCCCTTGCTGAGTATGCACAGGGTCGTCTACTCCCTTATAATCATTAATAAGGCCGGAGGTCTAGTCTACAACCGCGACTTCAACAACGCTCTCAATAAGGTCTCCGTCAACGACCTACTAGTACTTGCAGGCACCTTTCACGGGTTTGGTCAATCCCAGGCAGTACTGCGAAGTCACAGCTCGATCGAGACTGACTGCCCCCAGCGTCCACGCAATTACCAAATCTCTCACGCCTTCTTCCCTCGGCATTCCATCCAGCCAGCGAACAGGCATTGAAGTCCTCGAATCCTCCCACTTCCGCCTGACTTCCTTCCAGACATTTACGGGCACGAAGTTTCTCTTGTTCACAGAACCACACCAGCCAAACGTTGATGTCATCATAAGGAAGGTGTACGAATTGTATGCGGATTATGTGACGAAGAATCCTTTCTATCAATTGGAGATGCCGATCAGGTGTGAGGCGTTTGATCGGCATTTGTTGACATACATGAGAGCGAGATGATCTTGCCGAAGGGGGAGAAGGCTGTCAAGGACAAAGACGGGATGCAACAAGAGCTTAAATGTCCAGGATTGACTGGGAAATACAGTTGGCTCCAGGAGAGAGCCATCGGGCTCGGGGACCGCGTTGCGAAAACCAGAAGCGCACATGAGCAAAGGCGTTTCCTTTCAAGCAATCCTTGTGCACATACTTGGTGGGAGCTTTGTCCATGTGACCCTGGATGGTTTTGTAGCGTGTAGACTGTACTTAAAGCCAGACGATGCATTGGGGCTCCAGTCCTTCCGTCTGCTTCTTAAGGGCAATTATATTAGCCGGCAGACGATCATGATGTTATAGTCTGCCATTTGATATAAGTTTTATAGAGAGCTCTATTCCCAAAAGACCTCAAAGCTTTCTTGAACAATTCGATATTTGTTAGGTAGCGATGTTGCAATCTTGCAACCCCCCAATCAAAAATTTAAAAAAGGGGGGGGGTTGGGTTGGTTACCCCTTTTTTTATAAAAAAAAAAAAAAAAAAAAAAAAAAATAAAGGAAAACCCCCCCCCCCCCCAAAAAAAAAAAAAAAAAAAAAAACAAAATTATTTTTTTTTAAACCCCCCCCCTCTAAACAAAAAAAAAAAAAAAAAAAAAAAAAAAAAAAAAAAAAAAAAAAAAAAAAATAAATAAAAAAAAAAAAAAAAAAAAAAAAAAAAAAAAAAAAAAAAAAAAAAAAAAAAAAAAAAAAAAAATTTTAAAAAAAAAAAAAAACCCCCTATTTATTAAAAAAAAAAAAAAAAAAAAAAAAAATCCTTTTTTTTTTTTTATTTTTATATAAATATACCAATAAAAAAAAAATAAATTTATTAAATAAAAAAAATATTTTTTTTTCTATAAAAAGAAAGAAAATACGCGCCTATTTTATTATCTTTAAAAAATTCGATTTTTATAAATTTAATTTAAAAGCTATTTAAAAGATTAAATAAAAGATAAAAAAAAAAGACTATAGAGTAATCCTTTAGAGCGCTATTATTATACTCTTATTTTTAAAAAATATTAAGATTATAAATAGTTAATATAACGATATTACTAAGTAAAAGAATATTAATAATTTAATAAGATAATAATTAGTTAAAAAAAAGAGAAAGAGAGTTATTATAAGAATTATATATATCTATAATTCTAAATAAGATTTTTTTAAGTTAGAAATCTTTATTATAAAAGAGTCTCTCTTAAAAAAATAGAAAAAAAGTAGAATTATTAACTAGAATATCTCTTTAGATAACTTTAATACTATATTAGACGATTTTAAATTATCTAAATTTAATAAGAAGAAGAAGAAGAAAAAGAAAGCGTCTTAATTTAATAATACTATTATTAAATAAATTTAATATATAAAAAAGATAAAGAAATTAAATAAAAAGTTTAGATCTAAAAATTATAAGATTATAAAGTTATAGCTATATAATAAGTCTAATTATTAAAAAAGATCGCATTACTACTAATAATTAGACGATTTTAAAAATTTATATTATCTATTTATTAGCGATTAAATTACTAAATAAAATAAGGCTATAAAAAAGAAATCTAATATTATTACTATAAATTCGTCTATAAAAATATAAAAGTAATTAAAAACTCGATAGAATTAGACTAAATAAATAAAGATTATTAATAAAGAAATTAAATTAACTAAAAAGAAAATTTATACGATTATTAATATCTCTACTTCTACTTCTATTTCTATACTAATTAATATATTACTTAATAAATTAAATATCTTACTCTTACTAGCGTAAGATCTTTAGTAATAATAATATAATTTATATTAATAGTAATAATTTTAATAGTAATAATATTAAAATTATTCGCTTTATTAGTCTATACTTTAATAATCTTAAATCTTTTTCTTATAATAATATATATATATTTAAATCTAACTTATTTAACCTCGCTTACTTAATTTAATTAAGCTATTATTTTATTTAAATATAGCTAATTAATTATTCTTTAAAGCGTTTTAATTATTAAATAATTTAATTTAAATAGAGAGTAATATAGATAAACTATAAAGGATTTATTTTATCTAATAAATTTAGAGAAATTCTAATAAAGAAGCGATCTTTATAAATACTCTAAAAAAGATTAAAGTAGAGTTTTATATACTAAAGTAAATATATTATATATCGCCTTCTAATTAAAAAGAGATAGAGATTTTAAAAGAAATAGTTATATAATTAAGAGACGAGATAAAGAACTTTATAAAGATACTATAACTTTATACTATTATCTCTATAAAAGAAGCTAGTCATTAATTATATACTTCTTTAAACGCTCTTATCGATGTTACGAGCGTATTCTTAACACATTTTAATATACCCCTCAGCCCTATGGCTAGCGGGCCTTGGCGGAGACATCCCCTATTATATTATACCTCCTTTCCACCTACATATTTCGATATCTTAGTTATCTTATTTAATATATCTATATTAATATTATATTTATATTAATTCTAATACTATAACTAAGATTAATTTACTTATTTCATTTATATTAGTAAACGAATTTAAAGAAATACGCTAATAGAGGCTTTAATAAGAAATTAAATTAAATTATTATATCTCTAAGTAAGCTTATTAGATAGATAAATCGATTTTAAAAAACTTAAATAAGATAACGAAACGATCTCGATAAATAGTGGTTAAGAAATAAATAAGATATTAGATTATTTATACGACTAGCGAATCGAAAGAAATAATTAATATTATCTTATATTTTTATATTTAAAATACATATTAATAGTACTACTTATAATTTCATATATTATAATATCTAGAGTTTTAATAAGACTATAATTAGATAAGAAATAATTAATTTATAATTAATTTAAGATATTATTTTTCGAAACTTCTCTATATATAACTTCTCTATAAAATAAGAGATTCTTTAAGCGAAGTAGATATACTCGAAAAACTACTATTTAAAGTATTTATAATTTTCTTAACAACTTAAACAATTAAGAAATAAGTGTATTAAACCTCTATAAAGAAATAACTTATCTTAAACTTTATAGTAAAAAAATTTATTCTTAATATCGAATAATTTCGACGCGTTTTTAAGAAACTTTACTACTCTCTAATATTTCTAATATTCTTAATATCTATTCTTTCGAAGTATTTAAACTCCTCTTCACTTTATTTTAAATCTTCTTTTCTTCTTTCTTATAATAAAGTTTAATATTAAAAAAATAGATTAAATTAAGATTTTATTTAAGTAAATTAAGTTTTAATAAGTATTAATTCTATTAGATAATATAGTTAACGAGTTCGATTTAATAAAAATATCTTAAGATATTACTAATATTCTATAATTATAATATTAGATTAAGTATTAACTCGATAAATTTATAATTATATTAAATAAGATTCGTTAGAAGTAAGATAATTTCTAAAAGATTATTACTCGATATTATATCGTCGTAATAAAAAAAAATCTAGCTATAAATAATTTATTTTAGATTTATAAAATAATTAAGAAAGTAAATTAACTAGTCTAAGATTTTTAGAAAAATATAATTTTTCTATAGCGAAAAGTTAATAATCTTAATCTATAATCTATAAAAGACTTATAATTATCTTTAATCGAGGAGAAACGCACGTTTAGATGATTAAAAGAAAAATTAATTAAGATCTTAGTTTTATCTCTATTTATCGATAATATTAACTCTATCTAAGACGATTAATTCTTTAAAATAGAGTAGAAATTTAAGATTAATAGCGATTATTATCTTATTAAGAACTTTAAGATAATATATATAGTTTTACGACTTAGCGATAAGACTATATAATATATAATATATAAAAGACTTTAAAACTCTACTAATCTATATTAGTCTTTTATTAAAATTATAGATAAATTAGTTAATATCTATAAGAACTTAGATCGATATAGTAATATATTATATAATATATATACTTTATAATAAGAGACTTAACTCTTTATCGACTTCTATTTAAATCTTATTTAATTAAGTATTATTCTTAATATTAAGAAAATTTAAATATTAAAGAATTATCTTTTTAAGAAATTAAGAAAGAAATTAAAGAAGTTATAATAGATTATAAAAGATTATAAAAGATTTTACTATTTTAAAGATTATAAAAGAATATCTTTAGAAGCTAAATAACTTATAACGCGCTAATTATAAGAATTTTAAGTTTATAAAGATTACTATTAAATTAACTATAATACGAATATCGATAATAGTATCTACGATTAATATATATCTTATATTTATTATCGAGTTTAATTTAAGTATAATTATTACGTCTCTAAATATTATAATTAATTTAAAGTTAAGAAAACTAATATATTATAACTACGATAAAAAGAATTATTATCGAAAGAACTATATAATAACTACTTAAATTAAGATTAATAGAAAGATCTTTAAAAAAGTATAACTCTACGCGATAAAAATAAATAAAGAATTCGAAATTAATAACGTCGATATTACGAATAGCGATAGTTCTTTTTTAGATTTAAGAAATAAATAATCTCTTCTAAAGTTATAATAAGAGATATTTATAAAGTATACTTAATAGATACTCTTAATAACGCTTTAGCACGTTATCCTTTCTATATATAAGTTATACTTTTCTTATAAGAGAGGATTTATCTATTTAAAAACTCTCTTATAGATAGTAGATATATTAATACTTATATAGTTATAAATAAGTTCTTAATCTTAATAATATATAAAGTTTTATATCTAGAATTACTTTTACTATTATAATTTAAATTATTAAGAGATTATAATAGCTAGATCGTAAAATAACTAATTATATATTACTTATTTTTAACGATAATAGTAAAAGATTATTAAGAAGAAATATATCTAATATTAATTATATTATTAAAATATAATATAATAGTTAAGAAATCTTAAATAAATAAATACGAGATAGTTCTTAATATATTATGAGATAAGATACTTTTTCTACTCGATCGATATAATTATAATAATA